GTAGTGAGATTTAAAAAAAATATGCAATAGTAGTGTATATTATGTAAAAAAGACCACATATGCAAATACTTCTTTCTGAACTTCTAGGATTTAAATGTTTGGAATTGTTTACCATGACCACCTGAGCAAGAAATAAGATATTTAGCAAGGATGAAGAATGAAAACCTCCTTTTATCACATCCTACACTCAGAGCTTAATCTCAGTTTTACAGCTCCATCTTAGCCCTAAGCAACCAGCACAAAATATGTTTCTTTCAGTATTAAAGCTACTTGCTGCTCATCCTTATTTTGGTTCTGAAGTATTCCCTGCCTGCCTAATGGAAAAGTCCATCTACATTTGAACTTGTGTTCCCAGAAAATACATGCCATTATGTGTTATAGGGTTTACAAGGTAAACTTTCCAGTGGAACAGCACTGAAGCTGGAAAGAATAAACTGGAAGAGCCACTTGGCTCAGGTATCCCAGGAAATGCATATGCAATAGAAGAATCAATTTGTTAGTCACTGGGAAAGGATTAGCAGTTTTCATTTAACAACAAATATAGAAGTGTAGGTGCTGGAATTCAGAATAAAGAAAAATGCATTAACTGGGGGGGGAAGTTACTTTTCTCCTTATTGGAGTACTATAATCATAGTTGAATTCAATATGTACAATTGCTCTTTGATGGTTCTTGTTGAGTAATTTTGTTCAATAAGGGTCTGTCAATACAATTTGCTTTCAAATGTCAGTTTATATAACATCAAGAATAATGGGCTCACTCAGGTGCACTTGGATATTGTAATAAAGCATTAATTTTGGGCAAAAGAAAACTGTTAATCATCTAGTTTAGTACTCTAAAATTATGCATGAATTTTTTGAGGAGCTCTGTGGAGTAAATGTGAACATTGCAATGTGTGTTAGACAAAGAGCCATAAATAACTAAGCAGTAAAACACTGAAGAGGGGATATCCTCTGCAGATTGTGCTTTTTTGTTGAAGAGGAGTCCAGGAAAGCAGTGAGCAAACCATCCTATATCACTTCCAGTTTCTGGAAAGTAAGTGCATTCTCAATTTCTTGCATGCAACATATTTTTTGAGGTTCACAAAGGTGGGTTGTTTCATCAAGCCAAATTTCTTTGCTTCTATTTCTCCTACAATGTCAAGGAGCTGGATAGTTAACACTCACAAATGAAGTGGCAGGAAATAACTGATGGTTCATTAAAAAAGTCACATCAGGATACTTCCACAGAAGCTCAGAAATAACTGATGGTCACAATTCATTAAAAAAGTCACATCAGGATACTTCCACAGAAGCTCCAGAGGGGATCTGTGAGGGGAACAGGGGGCAATGATCCAGCTGCTGAACACAGCATGATGATATTCACAGAGAGGAGTTTATGGCAAGAATAATTTGGATGGTTCTCTCCTGCTAATGCAGTTTGAAAGCTGAACAGTCTGAAGAGGTTTGGCCAACAGAACCTTTCCAGGGTAGCTCATAGCCTGGCACCCATCTCTTGTTCTTGCTGACACAAAAACTCAGTGAAGGAGTTTAGCTTGAAAGGAACAGTAGGAAAGGTATTTGTTTTCCCTTTTCTCCTTCCCAGCTCAGCAAGCTGAGCAATCTCTGGCTCTTCAAAGAGAGCAGAGCACCGTGAAGCCTCCTGCCTGTAACTTCTGTGGGCATTTACACAACAAACCCTTCACACAACATTTCAAACAGGAGCTGCAAGAGGAGTGAGCTGAGAGCTTCCCCAAAGTGGAGCAAAGAACAGGGTGTGTAGTTTGGAAGAGAATGTGAAGAGAGAGAGGCAGCTCTGCCAGTTTATAATTTGGGTTTTCACAACGTGTGTGTGTCATGAAGGAAGCTTCCACAGCTTGTGCCAGCCTCAGTGTGATGAGGAGTGTAAATGCTAAGTGGTTTAAGAATTCTATTTAATATATGCAAGGCTATCACTTGAGGAAAAAATACTTATTGCTCATGTGAATCCATCTGTCATTGCAGACCTACATCAGCTAAGTCATGTCAATTTGTACTGCTAACAGGTGGAATAACAAGGAATGAAGTAATTTGTGACATAAATGACAGCTAAATAAAAAGGAAGCCCTTGTCTGCAAATGGGCTTGTTTTTGCAAGAATCTAGGATAAATTTTGCAGGCCTGCTTTAAGTTTTGCTTCTCGTGAGCTGCTGTAAAGCAGTGACAGACTTTTGATGTAAGTATCAAATATAAGCACTATTGCATTAGAAGTTATGTCTAGGCTTGAAAAACACCTACATTCAAGACAATCTATTTATGCAGAAAGATGTAATGCCTCGTTCCCACAGCATAAATTAATCTTTAAATTGGCTAAATAAGGATACCTTTTGCATAAGAGAATCTCTGCACAGTGTAAAAGCTGAATTACACAAAATGAACATCAGCTGTCATTGCAATGATAAAACAAATACACTTCTCACAACTACTGAGATTAAAGTAGAAAGGGAAAAAAGGAAACCAACAGCTGCATGGCCCTGCCAGGCTGCTTTCCAGACACTTATTTATAGCAGGCTTTCTAGTTTAGTTCTGTGTTTCATTAAAACATCTGTGGCATATTTTGTAGAAAAAAGATCTAAAAGCATTTTGTCTTTAGTTAGAAATAAATTTTCTGAGTATTTGGAAGGGAATCTACCACTTAGCTTGAGTTAAAGGTTTTGGTAAATAGAAAGCATCTCATTATCTTTGTTCCCAATGACCCTAATAGCAGAATAATGCTGGCATTTTAAGACTCCCGTGTAGTTAAATTAACTGAAATCTTACTCATAACCAATATGTGAAACAACTAGGTTATAATTCTGCAGTTATTGCATGTTAAGTACCTCTGCAAGGCTTATGAGAGCTACTGTCCAACACAAGCCCAAACATCTCCACTGAATCATGCACAGCAAGAGAGTCAGTTCTGAGTCTCTTACATCCCAGATCAGCACTGCCTTGTCAAGATTTGTTTTCATGGTTTTTTTTGGGGTTTTTTTTTCCCCCAAAAATGTTTGGGATTTTTTTTTTCTCACATGTAAAGCAAAGCTGCTTTTAGCAATTTAGAAAAGGAAAGGGCATCCCATGATCATCTCTGACGAAAAAAGAGGCAATTCATAATTTGCACCATGCTTAATATAAATGTAAATATGATAAAGTAAAAAAGGAAGAGTTAAATAGCAGCACTACAGGTAAGATTGCTGAGATGCAACTGTTAGCAGCAGTTGCTGACCTGCACTGCAGAGTTGATTCCACCTGACCCTCCACATGCAATCTTTCTCAAAGGAACACATCTCATCCCATGGATTTATCACAGTTCTTCATTGCCTCACAACTGCCTGAAAATCTTTCCTTTCTCTGGTGTTGCTGCTTTGCTCACTTTTTTTTTTTTTTTTTTTTATCTATCTTGCAAGGATATCTGTTCCACACCATGCAGTTGCATTTCCATCTTTTCCCATTTTTCAATGCTTCATCAGATTGAATCAGAATTCTTAGTAAAAGACATTTAATAGCAAGGAATTATTGAGCTTCATTAAACAAACTACATTTAAGAGTTTTAAGTCCATAAGACCAAAAGCTTTACAAGTACTCCAAAAAACAACAGTCCTGAGGATCTTACAAAATTAACTTGTAGGTAGGGAGGTAGTTGAGAAGCCAGTTCATGAATTTGAGGCCATTTTTAATTTAACAGAATCAGTGGGATGCCCTATATAACACTGGGTTCAAAACAGAGAATTTTTTGGGGCCTGCAGTATTTCTTGCTCAATAGTTGTTTAGTTACATCATTGTGATGCTGACTGCCACAATTCCTAAGGGCTATTAAACACTCTGAGATATCCCATGGAGAAAAAAATATGGAAAGTATTTCACAAACTGTCGATAAAAGAAACCCAAACAGTCATAAGGAAAGACATCAAAGCTGCTGAGACGCTTCTATTCAAAGAAAGCAAAGAAAGAAATAATAGCACTGAAATAAAAAGAAAAGTAAGAATCATCTTGTAATTAGAATTACTGCAGTAGATAAAAGGGGGCACAGAGAAGTACAATAGTTTCTTTTGTATAGCAAGTCAATAACATTATGTAATTTTCCAATTTTGTCCTTTTTTTACCAGAAGAGATTTTTTTTTTTTTCTTTCAAGAAAAACTTTTTTACCAGAAGAGATTGTTTTTTTCATTCAAGAAAAAACTTTTAAGTAACACTACAGATAACACAGGATGTCCAGAAAAGATACCAGCCTGACATTAGCCCATGCACAGGTCCATTTTTACACAAAAATATGCCGTTTGGAAAGGAACTTTGATTCAGTTTTAACTATAGTTATATGTATTTACTCTTCATTTATTACTTTTGATGGAAGATGGTGTTTAATGGCTCCAGAAGAGAAAGGATAACACAAGTAGCCTGTCTTGGAAAGGATGCCTCTAGCCTGTCTCCACTTATTTAAAGAGAATTACAGGAGTTCAAATAATGGTAAAAGTTATTGAACAAAACAAAAGGTGGTTTTCATGAGATACAACTTGCAGCTACCAAAGCACACAAAGGTTTCACACACCACATTAGTACACAATTAAGTTTTCCCTTTCCAAATTTGTTTTGCTTCCATGCTTTAGCAAGGGAATATAAATTTTTAGGGAAGAGTCACAGAGTCACACAAATTCCAAGATTTTACAGTGGCGTGTTTCAAGTTCTCCGTCTTTGGTGCACATGGACATGCTTCATGAAATGGATGATTAGAGGATACCAGGCCTTCTCTTCCAATATTTAGGTTGGCCACTTAACTGCAGAACAGTTTCCCTCTCAATTTCTCCTATACATTAATTCAGGAAAATGGCTTGTTCCCAAGAAATTATCGTCTTTTCCATTTCCTTTTGGTTTGGCTTTTTATTGGAAGGGACATCTGATCTCCCTGTCTGACAAACACCAAACTTGATTTGCCTGAGATGTGTGGAGAGATGGGGCAGAGAGTGAAGGAAAAAAAAACCTGATGTGTGGGAACAGGCTGGAATACCTACCAGGGGAAATGCTGGGGGGTAAAGATCCACCCCCTGCCACTGGATGAGAGGCCAGGATGCTATTTAAAAATCCCGCCCTCAGGAATCTCGAAAGAGACTTCACCCCAATGGTCGGAAAGGATCCTTTCAAAGAAATAGAAATGATCATTAATCAAATGACTTGTTCTCTGGCTGACAAAAGAAGTTGACTGTTTAAAGAAAGAACAACCAAACCTCTGCAGAGTTAACAGTGGCTTCATGGGAATAGATCTCATGAAAAGCAGTTAAAAGCTTTTGTTTGCTTTTTAACCAAGTCATACAATACACAGCTTTAACCAGAAAAAAGGTTTTCTGCATAGTTTGCAAATGGAGAATTCCAGCACTTCTAGGAGCCATAGAAAAATTTGGTGTTTCAACAGCAAATTGCACCTGTGGGATACTCATAATACATTCCAAATGACTCCACCATAGAGGCACGTTACAATTTTATGTTCAAATCAAAGACAGACCAGTAGAGGTGAGGCTATACCAGCAAAGCTGTTTTACACCAGTATTTTAATGCCATTTTAGTGCCAAAAGTCACATCAGGGAAGGGGCAAAGGGAAACCAGAATTTGCAGCTAAAATACTGAATTCTTTGTCAAGGCAGCTCCAGCAGTCAGAGCTTCTGTCACATCTCCCAACACCGGCCAATGGAACAGGATACAGGCAAAAACCAGAAGTATGGATGATGCCTAAAGATTTTTAGCTTTTTTATATATATTTTCATATAATTGCAACTTTTTGATTTTAGGCAATGTGGACATGGCCCCTTTCTGCTTTGCTGTCACCAGAAGCTCGACACATTTTATGCTTTCACTATAATAAACTCTATATTCTTCTCATTGCCTACATGTATGGTTTTAATCCTGGAAACAATTATTATCTCATCCACCTCCTCTAAAACAAATAATTGTGACCCATCTACTGCAGTGGTGAGAAATGAAGGTGCCTTAGCATTTGATCCACTGTTTCAGCTATCAGCATTTGTACAGAGATCTGCAGACATCATTTCAGCTTCCTCCTGTTAGTGCTCAGTGAGCGCCAGCATCAAAGATGGGTCTGAAATGACAGCTCTGCACATCTCACTTAAAAGCTCTGAACCTCTCACTGAAAAGCACAGGGTCAAGATTCTCCCACCTGGCAATAAATCTAAACTGACTATCAGAATAATCTGGGCATTTTTGCAAGTTCATCAAGTAAGCATCCATCCAAAAAGTTAGGCAATGGCAAGTTTGTTTTTCTCACCTTGCAGGTACTTCATATTTGTTCTTTTAAGAGACAGAAAGCATATTGATCTTTACAGACAATAAGAAAAATAAATGGCCTTCAACAGTTGAGATTTTTTTTTCCACTAATAAAAATACAGTGAGGAAAATTTACCCTCAAAACACGCATGCACTTGCTGAATTTAAAGAAGCCTAGGAGAGCTTTGAGTTTTTTACTTTTGTTTTCAAGCAAGAATTCTAATGTTCCCCCTCAATCCATCTGTCCTTTAAATTTGTTAGTTAGCCATGCTGCAGTCTGTGGAAAAATAATTAATTTAATTGGTGATCTAGATGCAGTACTTTTATATCTGATGGTAAATGTAAGTACTCCCTCTGGACACTCAAGAGAAGTCTTTGGCATTCCTATAAAAGTGTTTCCATGTTCCATGGCTTTCAGTTTAAAATATTTGCAGAAGTGATCCTGGACAGACAGTACAGAATGCAAAACACAAAAATTCAGTTTTAAAATGGAAATTGTCCTATTAACTCCAAGATGTTTGGTACTAAACAGCATCTTAAAACATAAAGGCTAAATAATGAACATATGAAGATTTCCCAAATAGAACACTGCTCCTGTTTCAAAATATGAATTATACCAACCATAAGGTACAGCCACTGAGTCACACACCATATGTACAGACCTTCAGAAAAACCAAACAGCTTCAGCTTCACCATTGACATTTTCCTCTACTTAAATGCTGTTAAATGGCAAATAACTCCAGTTTCCTAACAGTTTTACAATAAGTCACTTTGTTATAGAAAGTAATGAGGACAACCCCAAATTTATTTCACTTATTGGACATATTCAGAAATAAAATAAAAAAAACCCAAAAAAAACAAACAAAAAAAACCCCAAACAACAAGGAGCAGTGAATTTTAGTGCAAGTAAGTCTATAAATACTAAGAGAACTAGAGGGGGGAAATTATTGAGGTTTTATAAGCAGCAAATAACTACAAGAATGCATATAAATAACCCTTTTCTCTCACTCTAAAGTCAGGGTTCAGTTGCTTAAGTGTAAATGGTTTGTGTCATTTGAGATGCTCTAAAAAATCTGAGCCATCCCCAGCTGAGTGGCAGACATGACAAGATCAGCAGATTTCCACTCTGGAAGTGGCTGTAAGAGGTAAAGCAGCAGTTGGATATTTAAGAGTAGGCACTGAGTGTCATTTTAGGCAACTGAATCCCATCCAGCCCCCTGTCACCTCAGAAATAAGGGGTCTCTGAGTAAGCAGAAGTCAGAGTTACTAGAACAAGACCTCATTTAGTCTCTTCCAGAAGTCCTCAAACACCTTCTGAAAGGATCAAGGTTGGTGACATTCAGCCCTGACCAGTATCCATCAATAAAAAAAATGCAGACAAATGAGAGATTAAAAGTTCATTCACCTTAAAACATGCACGGCTCTAAATTAAAATACAGCCCCAGGATGAACTTTTTTTTTCAGCCCCAGGTGTGCTTTTTTCATCATGTGCACAACGTGAAAAGGGTTTGAGACTTGATTATGTGATTTTATGTTGGGAAGGTGATAATCACTGCAGATAAAGCAAATTCATTCTTGTTAAGCCACATCAATCACCACCAGATGGACAGAGCTTTGAAGAGCTTTGGACATTTACAGTAGTTTAGAAGTTACTCAAACATTTACTTGTTTGCATAAGCATTCATGAAATAGTTGAATGAATGACACAGAATCATAGAACGTGTAAGTTTGGAGGGGACCCCTGGAGTCAGCTAGTTAACCAGATTTCTTGAGAAATGATGCTATTCTGTTGGTCCACATCATAGATATACTCATGCTTCCCACCACTTCTGTTGTTTTCTGCAAAAAATTCACTCATTTTTGCAGTGGGTGCACTCACACTAATGGAAAGATCCCTCAGTACAAGATTCTAAACTGGGAAAAGGAAACAAGAATATTAAGCCATGATTCCTCAGTACCCTCAAAAGGTGCTGTTATTTAGCAGTTTACAGTCATGGATTTACTGAGGAGAAAACCCCAACCTCTCCCTGCTCCACAGTTACACACATTGAACACAGTGTCACCTTAACATGGGAAACCACATAAGTTACAATGTTGGAAAAGTGTGTTGAACTGTAGAAATACATGGAGTAGCTGACAGTTCACCAAGTGTCTACCACTTTCTGAGCCCTGTGATATCAGTTTAGAACTCAGTGTAAATTCTTCTGTTTCACAATAATTACAGCTAAGTGCCTGAGCTCAGAGGCAGTGGGGGAGTGCTGAATCAATTAGCCTGCTTTCCACTCTCAGCTGTTCCTGGGGGAATATCATCCCTCAAATTGTGGAATTTGATAGGGAAGACCCTGGTACAGCATCCTAAACTGGCATGGGTTTAAGCAGGATATTATCCCCCTGAGCAGAAGGGCAGGAGAAGGTGGCTGGGCAGAGGAAATCCACATGCTTAGTTGAGCTCCAGAGCACTGACATTAATTCACACCCATTTATTGGCACTGCACAGTCACAGCATGGCCAGCCAGGAGGAACAGCCACTGCTCCCAGCCCAAACCCCATGACCAGTGACAAAAATGTGCTTTGTTCTTTGTCACTGCTGGTTTTCCTTATTTATTACTATTATTTATTATTATTAAGTATCTATTCAATACATTCTGCAGGTGGAATTGACCATTTCATGTGCTGTGTACTTCTGATCATCCAGCAGCTACAAATTCAAAAGCAGCTCTTTGGCTGCTTAATTTAACAAACTGGATTGAGAAGTTCTAGAGAGGTCACAATTGCCTTCTTCTATTTGTTAATACAAGTACCATCTCTTTATTGGCACCAGCAAAAGAAGATTTTAGTCTGTTGTTCCTTTCCCACAAATTTGGTTTGGAAAAAAAAAAAAAAAGGAAAAATGCAGAGGTGGTGTATTTAATGTAAAAATTTCCATTGCTATTTGTTTCTATAAGTCAGTTCTCTTTTAAAACCCAGCTAAGAGAAAGTTCTCTGGAACTCTGCACATGAAGGCTTTGGGGAAGTGAGAGCTGCAAGGAGCTCTTGCATTCAGTTTGGCAGGAAGCAATTGGCTGTTTTCACTCCAAACTGCATCTTCAGGCAGGGTGTGCTGAACATTTAGTAACAAAATACTGGAGGACAGAATGCAGAAAGTTTTCCTGCTTCTGCATAGGGGAGTTATCCAATTTTATCACTTCATGTCTGAGAGAAGACTGGCTTCTGTTATGAGCACTTCCCATTCTAAAATAAAACCTTGTTTTTATTGTTACTGGTGTTTCCTTGGGGAAGTTAGAAGCAGGGTTAGAGCATTTTTTTTTCAAAATTATTTGAAATATATCCATTATGGAAACTACTGAAATGTGGTTGACTTTTCTTTCACATGATTTTATTGATTTATCCTTGCTAGACCACCAGGAATGGCACATTACTTCATAATCTTTTATGAGGGAACATATGGAAGGTTTTTATAAGGAATGGCTTTATAAAACTTTGAAATGATGATGTCAGATTACAATTTTTAGAGCACTCAAAAGGTTTGACTTGCAATGGAAAAAAAATCAGAAGCAGGAAAAAAATTTATCCCTGATGAATTTGTGGGACCGTGTTTTCAGTACATTTAGAAAACATAAGCTTTTTTCAATGCAACAATCTAGAGATTTAGAATATGTTCTTAATTTATTTTAGAGCTTTTTTTCATGAAAGCAAAGGCTGATAGAGTGGCATGCCTAAAAGCTTACCCAAATAATTAATATCTCTTAGAAAAATCTAATTTTCAAGATCACTAAATAGTATTTTGCAATAGACATCACAAAGTAATAGAGCATAACAAGAATTGACAAAAATTACTGTGCTTAACCCCTGCTGAAAT